TTTTCTCTGTTGCTAGCCGTTCCCGTCTGCACTATGGTGGAGCCTTCAAGGAAGTAGTTCTTGTGTGCATTGAAGTACGCATGCATCAGTGGAAGGACGACCTGAGAATAAAGGATAACATAAAAAAGGATAAAATAAGATTTGGAAATCATGAAGATGTGAGCAGGATGGTGGGAAGCTTCTAAACAAATCTTGCCCAACAGGTACCTTTTCGAAGAATTTCACATCCTGTCCCTCTGTTCTGAATGTATTTCTCCTGGTAAGTTCCTGCTAGGTTTCACCGATTTCATCTTGAGACTTGCTTGTTCCAAATATTGATAAGTTTCTCGAGGAGATTGTAGGCAAACCTTAAACTCTAACACTAGTTTCAGTTCATGTGTTCACATTCAAAAATGTAAAATAGGACGGTTCCGTAGCTGTTTCAGTAATTCTAGAATGAAGGAAAGGAGTCACGTTTGCGTTTAGGTTTTGTTTAGTTGATGAATCCTTACGTATTAACATTGAAAATATAAAAGGAATTAGGAATATCATGAGCTCATGATAAGTATGGGACTAATAGGTAATACTAGCGAAAGTACGAAAGAATCTAGGTATTACTAGCGAAAGTACGAAAGAACTCACCTCTTTTCGACTGATGATCGCTCACCCTCGCTTTTCGCTCTGTCCAGACTCTGCTCTGTTTTCGGGCTAAAAAAGCACTATGAAGCAGATTTCACATTGGAATGATCAGCACTAAATGACTATTACAGGTAATTTAAGGCACAATTCAAGATGAGATCAGGAGGGTGAATCCCTTTGAATGATAGAGCTATCCTTGAAGGTCGTTATCCCCTGTTGTCTCGGCTCTGAAATGAGCAAAAGGCCACTGTAACCTTGCAAAGACCGCTTCGACCGCATCCATTTTCCTTTCGTCCGCAAAATGTTGGTGTCTGCGCATTCCCATCAGTTGTGCTCTTTCGCCTGTCCTCTCCCCTTCGTGCTCAGTCTCTCATGCCATAGCATAACCGAATCGAATAACTTATTGAACCCTTACCTTTAGCGTTTTTGATACTTTTCTTTTTTACCTTACTGCCGGCCCACTTGGCACCTAGGCTTCCAATTTTTGTGCCCAACAACCACTTTATTTTGATCCTAGGACTTGCTTTCGAATTCAGAAAGTCAGCTGAATAGCTCTGTGGCATCCCTCTAGACCAAAGATGTCTGGGTAGTCTCTTATAGGTCTCGTTTCATTCAGAGTCAGTATCCATCTATCTATGTCATATGAAGAAGGCCGTGTTTTGTGATTCTGGTGAGGGGGTCGCACATATAATCGAAATCGCGACTGCTTCCAAGCCTGCTTCTGGTAGTTCATGGAAGAGCTGGAGCTCAAGTGGGCCTCGACGGTGCTCCACAATTTTAGTAATACCTTAGCGTTCTACTAAACAAGGCCAAGTTGAGGATGTGATAATCGAGAGTTTCTAAAGATACCTTTCAACGTGATATCCATGATACTGTACAAACTTCAGGATCTCAGTAGCTCGGAAACGATCCTTACGTCTCTCAAAGTCCGTCAGCAAATCCCACGGCACCAAGATGGTGGGGAGGAATCCGCCCTTTGTATTCAGGTCATTCCATACCTTCAAAGCAAAATAAGTCATCATTTGAAAACGCAAAACGAATAAGAGCTGCAGCTAACGATTGTGGTAGTTAAGAGGCCAAGAACGTTCTTTCGTTTTTTTTGTTTTCACTCTTCCCCAAACTTGTTTAACACGCAACCCAGTTTCTCAACTTTTCTTAAACAGTTATTGTGGCAGGGTTTTGAGTAAGGAAAAAATAATGAAGTAAATAGATAGATAAACAAATGAATAAACAGACTAATTAATTAATTAATGAACAAGTGGAATAAATAAATGAATAAAGTCGGGCTTCTAAAAGCATACCTTTTTCGCCCAGATCAGATGGGAGTGCTCCGCCATTTTTTCACCAGCTGACACCATATCCTGCAAAAAAATTACATTTACATTACAATTACAAATTAAAAAATTACAAAGCACAATCGTGTAACGGTAGGAACAAACGATGAAAGGGTGGAAAATATTAGTCGAAAGCTTTTTTTGAACAGTCAAGAATTCGGCTATCTCATTCCACAAGGAATAAAGAAACGAGGGCTTAATCGACGGAATGCGACGCCATAAACTACGAGTTTTACTTGGTGATTGATCGATGTCACCTATGGCCTCATCATTATTCACATAAACTGTGTCGTACGATCTCCCAGTAGACGTAGCGGAGACGACCCTTCGCCTCATAAGCGTCGTTCATTTCATGAATTGTCGGAGCAGGAGGAACAGACTACAAAAACCTAAATTAGGAAGATGGGCAAATTTACCTTTTCAAGAGTCATGCTAGAAAGGTCCATGGTTTTGGAGCAAAGTTTTGGATGCTGGTGCCGGAAGGCGTACGAGCGCTGGCCGCCCGATCGGCAGCATCCCGATCGGTCAGCTCGAATGTGTAATTCCAAGCCAGAAGCGCTTTCAAACACTCCGCACATCGGTCTTTGTAGAAAGATTTTTCCTGAAAACAGGTAAAATAATTATTCAATTGGCGGAATGTTGCACTGAATACTTTTTGTGACGCAGCTTTACACGAGTATTTTCCGCTTATAGTCCACGTATGCATCACTAGTATTTAGGAGACTGTCTGAATAATAATGCGTAATGTCTATTTGAAAGTACTTGAAGAGAAAAGAGAAAAATACGCTTCAGCTCCATCTTGATACAAAAATTATTGATGCAAAACCGCTGGAAAGATAAACATGAACTAACGAATTCTTTGAGCTGGCTGTATGGCTTCAGTCGAGGATGTGTAAGATTTTGACGTGAGTACAGGTCACCATAAACCCATCCTTTTTCTATCTGAAAACAATTCATTGAGCAGTTATACTGTTACTTAATCGTACGATAATCAGAAGTGGTGACCCACAGCAATTGAAAAATTCCGAAAAATCAAATCTTCACAATTTCCACACGGCCTTATGATTTGAAAAGCTACAAGAAACAAGTAAGGGATACGGAGAAAACGACCCTTCTCTAAAGTATAATTTTCCTAACGCATATGCCAATAGTTTTTCTAGTGCTGACTAGAAAGGCAATACAATCGATTCCTACTGCGCCTAGTAGGCTACACGGGAGAGGTTTTGGCTGCATGGTTTTAAAGGTGGTGTACTGTCATTTCCCGACCGTAATAAGCTCAAGTGTTGCTAAGGTAGCAACGCGTACACTGTGGCGTTTTTTTTTTTGAACAATCTATTAAATCCCCTGCACACCCTCTTGCGCTGTTTCATTTCCACTTTTCACTTCTTAAGTGAGCCTGACTGACCTTTCGACTAGCCCATGAGTCATGGAAATGTTCAGCGAATGCTTCAGTCATCGACTGCAAATCCCTTGGTAGATCGATTCGTGAGACGTCGACAGTCTTCGGCACCCAACCACTATCGTCCACAATTTCCTGAAACAACAATAAGTCTGTAAACCTATCACCTCTCGAGAAACGTTGTAATTTGACTTTACCTTCAAGAGAGCACTGTTGCTCACCTTAAGCTTTGTGGTATCATCACCACCGCTAGTAAGGGTATAATCCGGAGAGATAGCTGATCCGATTGCTGTCAGGCATGGCAAGGCCTGAAAACGCAATTTTTATTACAGCTGCAAATGCCCGAACATGGAGATGAAATGAACATAAAGCTTGTCGAAACGACAACAGC